GATATACTGATAAACATTTTATCAGTTGACAAAATTTTGATATCTCTTATGAGAACCGAGATAATTGAGCTCACAGTTGAGGTGGCCATCTGTTTTTGGTCCGGTACTGTGCCTGAATATGAGCAACTGATAGTCGAAAGAGAAAACGATTTTGTTATCAAAATTGATATTCTGAAGACATCAATTTTAGAACCAGAAAATCGACTCGAAAAATCATAGGAAAATGGAGGAAACTGAGTTCCGAGGAGCACGGAGAGCTATCAACGACAGAATCGATAGAAATAGATGATGTTCCAAGTGTGAAGCGTGTATTAGGACTACCATTATCGGAATCAGTGGCTGCTGATCCGTCATTCGATGGAATTCCACTCCCATCATTCTTCAGATACGCCCTAGATTTTGTTGAAAAAAATGGGCTATGCACAGAGGGAATTTATAGATTAAGTCCACCGAAAAGTCGATTGGATGTGCTGGAGAGGAGAGCCAATTGTGGGGAGATGATGGTTTTTACGGACCCGCATGAAGCGGCGGGGCTGATTAAGAGGTACGGTAAGACTCCTACCGTAGGAGGAGGATGAGCAATCTTTAACTGGGATTTCAGAATTTTTTGTGAATTTTTGAAACTCGGACATTTTGAATTCTTAAGATTCTCCATCGTTTCCTTGGATGTTCTCATCTTCTGGATTCCCGATTTTCCGATTTTTCGAATTTCTAAATTTCTGAATTTCTGAATTTTCGAATTTTTGAATTTTCGAATTTTTGAAATTTGAAATTTTTGAATTTTTGAAATTCTGAATTTCTGATTTTCTGATTTTCTGAATTTCTGATTGTTGTGAATTTTTTGAAATTCTAAAATTCCGAATTTCTGAATTTCTGAATTTCTGAATTTCTGAACTTCTGAATTTCTGAATTTCTGAACTTCTGAATTTCTGAATTTCTGAATTTTTGAAATTTGAAATTTTTGAATTTTTGAAATTCTGAATCTCTGATTTTCTGATATTCTGATTTTCTGAATTTCTGATTGTTGTGAATTTTTTGAAATTCTAAAATTCCGAATTTCTGAATTTCCGAATTTTCGAATTTTCGAATTTTTGAAATTCTGAATTTTTGAAGTTTTCTGAATTTTTGAATTTTTGAATTTTCGAATTTCTGAATTTTTGAATTTTTAAATTTTTGAAATTCCGAATTTCCGAATTTCTGAATTCCCAATTTTATGAATTTCTGAATTTTTTGGAAAATTTGAATTTCGGCATTTTCAATTTTTTTGAAAGTTCTAATTTTTCAAATGTCTGAATATTTGAAATTCTGAATTCGTAATGTCTGGATTTCTGAATTTCTGATTTTCCGAATTTTGAATTTTTGAAATTCTGAATTTCCGAATATCTGAATTTCTGATTTTCTGAATTTTTTGAAATTCTGAATTCAGAAGTTCGAATTTTTAAGATTTTTCGATATCTGGATTTCTTGGGATTGTCGATTTTCTAAACTTCTCAAAGTCCAAAAACCTTCTTCACTTCCAGATTCCTTCGTCAAATCCCCGAATGCGTCGTTCCTCCAGAATTCGACGTCATCGCAGAATCATGTAGTTGTGGTCTGGCGACCACAACTCAATTAACTCCGAAATTAGTTTGTAATTGTGGTGCAGTTCGAAATTTACGCGAATCACTGAATCGAATAGGAATCGAGAGAAAGACATTGTTCATCTATGTATTTTTACATGCACAACATGTTATGGCTCAGGTACGGTAGTTTATGTACCATAATTTACGATAAATTACACAGGAAATTTTGAATTGTCGTAAGATTTAGTGTATTGTGTGCAAACACCGAGCTGGACAATGCATTTGTTGTTTGCACACAATACACGGAACCTTACGACAATTTTCAAAAAAGTTATGTGCAATTTGTCGTAAATTATGATGCATTATGAACACTACAACCCTGCCTACTTTTCTGCCTACAGTAATCCAAAAGACTACAGTAATCATTTTTTCAGGAGAAAGAGAACAAAATGGGTCTTCAAGCACTGGGATTATTGCTCCAGACGGTTCTGGAAATGTCCAGGAAAATGGTGTGCTTCTCGGCGCACGCCATACGACCGTGTGACGGGATTACGGTACCTGGAGTGAGTTACCCTTTGAATTTTAGGTTTTGGATTACTGTAGGTACAG